AAATTGGGTCAGTAAGGTTGCAGCGTTTAAGGCTAAAATTATTAAAGTACATATTAAATATTTATTATGTTCCAGGAAAGCATATTCAATTTGCAGATATGCTTTCTAGAGCTAGTTTAAAGGCACAAACCCTTGATTTAGAGATGTTTGATATGGTTCATTCAGTCTCACTATACTTACCAATGACAGATAAAAAAATATAGCAGTTCAGAGAAGAAACCTCTAAAGATAAAGTTTTGGCTACAATTGTTGATTTTTATTATAAAGGCTGGCCTAAAGAAAACAAGATTCCAGAGTATATAAAGCCATATTACAGTATTAAAAATAATATATATGTTGAAGCAGGAATTGTTTTTGTTGAAAATAAAAATAATTGTACCAAAATCTCTAAAACAGGAAATGATTACTGTGTTACATAAAGGTCATATAGGAACTAGTAAAACTATTAATAAAGCAAGATCTTTATTTTTTTGGCCAAACCTTAGGGGTGATATTGTCCAGTTTATAAAAAAATGTAGAATTTGTGAAAAATTCATGCCAAATAATTATAGAGAGCCAATGTTAGCACATTCAATACCAAAATTGAGGTTTAATAAAATTGCGGCTGATATTTTGGAATTTGGTGGTAAATCTTACTTAATTCTAATAGATTATTTTTCCCATTGGATAGAGATGCTATCATTAAATAATAAAACATCTGAAGCCATAATAGATGCAATGCAAGATGTTTTTCCCAGATTTGGCTATCCTCAATTTTTAATTGCAGATAATTTACCATTTATATCATTTAAGTGTAAAAAATATTACGATAATAAACAAATTACAGTCCTGACATGTTCACCTCATTACCACCAAAGTAAAGGCCTTGCTGAAAAGGCTGTAGGAATTTGTAAACAAATTAAAAAAAAAAAGTTTTACAGAAAATTCTGATTATCGTGAGTTAGTTTTAGAATATAATAATACTGCTATTATTTCATTAAGTGCATCTCCATCACAAATATTAAATAGTAGATCTTTGAGAACAGAAATACCAGTAAATAGTGAACAATTACAACCTAAAATTCAGAATGAGATTTATAAACTCTTATCGGACCAACAACAAAAAACAAAAGTTCAGTATGATAAACATAGTAAACGTACACCAACAACTTATAAAAGAGGGGATAATGTAGTTGTTAAGAGTAGTGTTGATAAAGTATGATATAAAGCTGTTATTGTAGAAAAAGCTAAAGAACCCAGATCGTACTGGATAAGAAAGGAATGCAATAATAGGATAGTTAGAAGAAACACAAGACACATAAGACCATCACATACAAAATCAGATGTAGCAGACATGTATCTTGAACCTGAGTTGTATCCACACACAAACCCAAATAGTTATAAGGATAATGATAATAATGATTTAAATAATGTATGTATTCAGGATAATGATTTAACAAATTTGTTTAATGAACATAGGAATACTGATATTGTAAGTCCTCATTATAGCTGCTCAAAAAATAATGATAGTAAGAAATGTAATGTTTCAAAATTCGGACGTACCATTAAACCTAGGGTACGCCTTAATCTTTAAGGGGAAGGTGTTTGACATTAATGTAAGATAGGCTTAACGTAAACCTGGTAACTATGTCAAATATGTCAATGTCAAGTCAACACCACTTCCCAACGGGGACAATGGGCGACATGATCATGTTGTAATGTATGAATATTATTAATATATGTTCAGCCAATACAGTAGTTTAATTGAGACCTTATTAACATACTTTAAACACAAATTGCTTGCCATCTTGTGCAATTCTTAATTGCATGTCATCTCTAGTAGTAGGAGGTGTAGCATATACAATATTTTTAATATAACCCCACTTAAAATAATCCATCTTGGTTAGTCCTGGTGACCTAGGGGGCCAATTATATGAATCACATTTACCTATCCATTTGTTTGTAAATTTTCTGTTAAGGTAGTTCTTAACATTACGTGAGAAAAGAGCAGGAGCTCCGTCCAACTGGAGCCACATTTTTGTTCGTAGACTAAGTGGAAGGTTCCCAAGCAGTGTCCAAAAATCTTGTTTTAAAAAATTTAGGAAATTTGTCCCATTAAGATGTCCGTCAAAAAAATATGGGCCGGTAACGTACTCGCCCATAATGCCGCCCCAAACATTAACACTCCATCAGTGTTATCGATCAACAGTACGAAATAAATGTTTATTTTCTGTGTCATAATAATGAAAATTATGTCTATTCACTAGACCATTATTATGAAAACTCGATTCGTCTGTAAATAATTCTTCTTCTTAACGTGCCCTATCAAGTCCCCTTGACGTTGGCGATTAACATGGCAAAACTGTCTCTGTCTCGAGATATTCTAAAGAGTTGCTCAGCTTTCCTATTCCTGTCCATTCCCTGATATTCTTCAACCAAGAGGCCTGCTTTCTACCAATTCCTCTGCGTCCTTCGATTTTACCCATCATAATAAGTTGAAGGATATTATATCGGTCTCCCCTTACTACGTGTCCAAAATAGGTCATCTTTCTACATTTGATGTTATCACGCAGCTCGCGAGCAGCATTTGCTCTCTCAAGGACTGTCATATTTGTCAGCATAGCCGTCTATGGAATTTTTAGTATACGTCTGTGCAGCCACATTTCAAAGGCCTCCAGACGATTAATGTTGGATATTTTAATGTCCATGCTTCGACACCGTATAAGAGGACTGATCAAATGTAGCATTTAACCATGCGCTTTCGAAGTTGAAATAGCAAGTTATCATTACAGAAGAATGACCTCATTTTTAAAAATGTCATGCGGACTATCTCGATTCTAAATTTAATCTCTTGATCTTGATCTAGTTGTTCAGTAATATGCCAACCAAGATAATCAAAACTGGACACTCTTTGAATTATATGACCATCAAAATATAATCGTGCATCTTGATGTGCTAAACGGCTAAACACCATGTGTTTTGTTTTTGAACAGTTTATGTTTAGGCCAAACTCTCTTCCCACTGTAACAATGGCATTTAAAAGGCATTATAGTCCATTCATGTCATCACTTAAAATAACTGTATCGTCTGCATATCTGATTGTATTTATCAGAATTCAATTAACTTTCAAGCCCCATTTCAAATTATGCAGCGCTTCGTTAAATATTTTATCTGAATATAAATTAAATAACAGTGGGGATAGTATACAACCCTGTCTGACACCTCTTTGTATTTTACATAGTTTTGTTGATTTTCCGTTTATGCGAGCTGTCGCTGTTTGACGCCAGTATAACTTTTCTATGAATCGTTTGTCTTGACTATCAACTCCTTTATCTTTTAATATTGTAATTAATTTGTGATGCTGCACTCGATCAAAGGCCTTTTCATAGTCAATAAATACAGCAAAGACGTCTTTCCTTTGATCTCGACATTTCTGCCGTAATAAATTTAGTGCAAAGAGAGCGTTCCGAGTTCCCAGTCCATTTCTGAAGCCAAATTGTGTTTCATCCTGGTCTTCTTCACATTTATCTCTGATTCTACTGTGAATGATGCATAGAAATGTTTTCAAAGTGTGGCTTATAAGACGTTGTTTTTTTGGTAGTGTTATGAATGCTGACTTTAACCAATTTTCAGGGATATCATCAGTCGAATAAACATCATTGAAAAGCTTGACCAGTATTCCAATGTTCTCCTCATTTATAAGCTTTAACATCTCTGTCGGTATGTTATCAGGGCCAACGGTTTTCTTGTTCTTTGCTAACTTTATAGCATGCAGTATTTCTGATTTTAGTATTTCTGGTCCTTCACCTTCAACTAAAGTCTCCAGTTCTTCGGGTCTATCATCATTATACAGTTCACTTATATAATTATACCAGGTTGTTCGAATTTCATGTTCGTCTATTATCCTTTTTTCCGACAAATCGGTTATAGTATGTGGAGTTTTCTTATGATAAAGACCAGCTACTTCTCTAACTTTTTTAAACATATTAAACGTATCATGTTTTTCATTCAACTTTTCTACTTCCTTGCATTTATCCTCCATCCATTTTTCTTTAACCACCTTTATTTTTTGTTTAAATAGTTTCTGTTTTTCCTTATATTCTCTTTTGTTACCTTTCAGTTTCCTTCTCTGCTCCATTAAATCCAGGATTTCATCATGCATCCATTGTTGTTTTTTGTGCCTGTGTAACGTTGTTAAATATTTTTCTATTACTTTCAAGGTAAGATCTTTAAATGTGTTCCATATTTCTGTGTTGTTTCCATTTATTGGTTTCTTTAGCTCATTGTTTAAGTCATTTTCTATCAACGTTTTGTTGGATATTGAGATATTTAATTTTGGTGTTTTGGGGCTTTCTTGGACTTTTTTGAGCTTCACTTTGATGTCAGTTATTACAGGATTATGGTTTGAACCGATATCTGCACCAGGATATGTCGTTACTCTGGTGACGTTTCTTTCCATTCTTATTCTGATTCTAATCCATCCATCTGATTTCTAATCATATGTAGTGAATTATCTCCTGGCCCCCTCCATGTGTATTAGGGTGGGCCGAAAAAATTATTTGTTTAGTTTTAATACACAATACCCCCAAAAAGATGCCTTTTGGTAAGTATAATCACTGTATTTTTTTTAGGATTTTTAAAAAAACATCTTCAGCCCTCTACCACCCCTAAAGTGAACCCTAAATCAAAATTATTTAATTTAATTAGCAATACCTGTAAAAAGTTTCAATTATATGCAAAGAGTTCATGTTATTTTTTTTATACATTTAGAATAAGATATTCTACCCTCTACCAACAGATAATGATCTTGAATCAAAAATAAAAATAATAAATTCACAATTATTTCTGAAAAATTGTGTGTAAATATGGGAAACTACTGCACATTTTATAGGGTGTTGGGAAATAAAACCAAAACTTGAACTGAACTAAAAGTTTATTGGAAACCGAAAACAAACAAAAATATAAATATCCTATTTTTAAACACACTAAAATGCGAAATAAAAATCAATAGAAAAATGCGTTCATTCAATTTTAAATTGTGCTTTGTTATCGTAAGTTACAAGAAAGTCTTTTGATTTTATTTTAGATCGAATAAATCCGTCTCTGCGTTCTGGCCCTGTAACTAGCAAAGATGATTCCGAAACCAATTTCACACATCTCTCCACAGCTTGCGTGTGGCATGGATATTTTGGAAAGTCAAAGTCTGCAATTATAGAGCTATCAATTAACTGTTTCAGCTCATCATCTGGTATGTCAGCTAACATTGGTGGGGCCGTTACTTCACATTCACTCCAGTTTATTAACTCAAAATACTCCGCAGCATTAAAGTTTATTTCTGGTATTTTAAACTGCCTTATTCCGACTTTTTTCTCTTTTCTGGCTTTAATAATTCTCCGTAAAGCTAATTCTCGTACCCATTGACGATTATCTGTTAACATACATAAGAGAAGATTCTCCGGATGAATATAATAGGAGTTTCGTTGGATAACTGCATCTATAATATTTTTAAGATCATCTCTTAAATATCTTGATAGTGTAATGGATTTGAAAACATGCAAACTGGCTTGTGTGCAACTTGGATTAAGCTTTATAAAAAACCACATTGGTGCATAGACTTTAATTATAAATTGAACAAGATCTTTCAATCTTGATGTAGGATGTTCGGTTCCAACGTAGAGGCGAAGAACTCTATTTGCCATTGTCAGCCATCTGGAATGAGCTAACTTTCCAGGGCTACGATTTGCTAAATTTTCATAGACGTTGCCATTTGATATTGCTTGGCATATGTCGTACAGATATGACTGGTCTGAGCTTAATTCTTTAGATGGTATTGTTAGTTCTGGGAGATCACTTTCAATTATTTCAAAATCTACGATTGGAAGGTGTTCGCATTTTTCCAATAATTTCCCGATCACTCCAGAGAATTGACGAGGTCCAGTAGTAGCTCCATCCAAACGTTGAAATAAATGTCTCAATGGCAACTCATTAGCATGTAAGGCACACACAAACCATTGCAAAGGTCGCTTAAGTTCATTTTCGATATATGTTATAACTCCATTTTTATGTCCAGTATTCACTATGGTTCCGTCACAACCAATCGCCACTAAATTATCCAAACAGAAGTTATTTGAAATGAGAAAGTCTATTATTGCCTTTCCAATTGACTTGGCTGAGCCTGCAGATGGGGTAACGTGCCCCAAATAAACAGAATTCGGTTCTTCTATCAATGACACATGTTCTTCTGCAATAGTTCTTTTATGATATCTCTCACCTTTCTTTTCCTGCACTAAGGTTTTGTCCTTCCTGCCATCAAAGTAAATACTCTTAATGGGTTTATTTGTAGACTGAAACTCATTACTAAGGATATTTCTGTTCTTTTGACGAGCTCTTCTAACTTTATTTTTATCGATTACTTTTGAGGTATCACTATCGCAAATAATTCCCACATCTTTTAATACAGCTGTGGCAACAGCAGCTGCTGACCTGTCAGAAATTCCATATTTGTCACATATGGTACCTAATGTGGGCAACTCTATCCTCATTTGACTACAGGATGGTTTCGACGGTAAATCAATATTTGCAACACTAGGTGAGGCTTCAGATGAAGAAGAATTGTCAGAGTCTGTTGATAACCTAGTGACCTCAGTAGAACAGCTGGGCATAGAAATATTGTGAAATTCAGATTTGAATTTTTGTACTCGTTCTGTTTCTTTTGTTTGTCTCTCCGTCCTTACATTCAACTTTTTAGTTGTTTCACGATCAACAGTTCCTATAGCCATATCTCTAGTGGACCGTTGATCCAAAAGAAATTCCTGTTCCTGCTTTGGTACTTTTCTTGATTTATCACACTTGCAATACTTGCATGCAGAAAAATCACACTTACAGGCAGCAATGTCGAACAACTTATCCCTTGTTTCCTCTTTGAAGCTGGTAATCTTTAACTCATATTGAACATTTCTTTTGCTTTTTGGATATCTGATAAGGTTTAAATATTTATTATGATATTTACGTAATAATTGCATGATGCGGTCCTTTGACACGGTTGGAATTGACGCTGATTCCCATATACTTTTGATTTTTGGCACAAGCACTTCACAAACTTCATTAAAACTTGGTTCCTTTCCAAAATATTTAGTAAACTTCAGTTCATAACGAATAAACAAATAACATCGAAGCACATATTCTATCGTTGGTAAAACATGACAGTTTAAGTCGACTGGGTTACCGAAAATTGGACATTCTACTTTACTTCTTGTAATATTTAATTTTAAAGCAGCCATATTTATGGTCGTGCTAGGTATTCACGCAAATACAACAAACACAATCTATTCGTCTTGGCTTTCAACAAATAAACAATAAACATGCGTTTCACCCGAAAGCTTATTTCGCACTAAGAAGATAAGCGACGACAAGTACCATAACCACCGAACAACCCGAAGGTGCACTCCGATAAATTTACATTGGTAGCTGTCAGACAAATTCGGTGACCTTGCGCCATTTTTTTAGTGTACAATTACAGTGTTTACGATTGCACAAAATCAAATTATTAGCGAAACAAATAGTGATCTAACCTAACAACAAACACAAAATGATCTGTCAACGACGTGACTGTGAACTTAAAATATGGCCGCTGACCTGCGCAAACCAGATGCGCGAACAATTACCGCCGAGTCGAGTGCACCTTCGGGTTGTTCGGTGCCATAACTCTCGACGATCCATCTCAGCCGGGACTGTTCGATTGTATCCGAGGCTTCACGACCAAGACCATCAGTATTAAATACTTTTATATTATATTATTATACTTTTTATGCTTTAAAGTTATACGGAGTTAATTTTACATTTTGTGTTTGGAAAAAGTTGGAAAATTGAGATTTTATTTTAGTTAGAGGGTGGTAGAGGGCTGATAAAATCATTTTAAAATAATAAGAAAAAAACAAAAGATTTATACACGGTAAAAGACAAACTTTGAGCGGTATTGTGTTCCTAATTTATTTATTTATTTTTCAAGGTCACTTAAGGGCTGGTAGAGGGCTGAAGACATTTTTTCAAAATAAAACAAAAAATCACAAGTATTTTTTACACATATACGCATCTTTTTACGGGTATTGCGTTCCTGTTTGATTCGTTTTTTTTTCTGAAGTCCAGTTTCGGCCCACCCTAATGTGTATAACCTTCTATTGTGTAATTTGAACCATGTATTTGCGATTATCGTGTCATGTTCTTGACAGAACTAATATAATCTATCGCCTCTTTCATTGCTCTCCCCTAGTCCATATTCACCTACCAGGTCAGATCTTCGGCCTTGGCCAATTTTTGCGTTAAAATCTCCATTGATATATGGGACTTCGTTACTCTTTAGATTTTTAAGCGTCTGTTTTAATTGGATATAGAATGATTCGACCACATTGTCGTATTTCTTTTCTGCAGTAGGGGCATATATCTGGATAACATTGACATTAAATGGTTTGCTATTTAATTATAGTATTGCTAGTCTGCGGTTCAATGGTGTAAAATTTTTCACATATTTCTTAAATTTAGACGTTATAGATATGCCAACTCCATTCCTATGATGTGTGTCATCTTCTACACTTCCAGAATAGTATAGTATCTGCAGGAACTTTCCCTATCAGCCATATGGGACGTGCCGTGTCGAGGTTGAGGACATCCCCCCAGTCTGTCTTCCGTGAAATACAGAAAAGCCCTTACTCAATTTAGAGCTCCTTCTCCAAGAAAGCTGAGACCGGACACAGAACACACTGTAAATTACACATTTCTAAAAAAATCAGGATCTTCTCCAACTTTATCTAAAGTTGCAATATCTAAACAACAATTTAAACGGTTACCATAATCTTGTTCTGTAAAATGCTGGTGAAGTTGAATATGATACGGATGAAAGTGGTCGGTCTTAAGTATTCTACATACACTAGTTTGAATAATTTTTAATTCACCCGGAATTTTTCTTGTACTAATATTTGGGTTTTCCATAATAGAAAGCAGGACAATAAGTTCGTTAACGTTGTCACCAATAACTGGTTTATTTTTGTTTACCTTTTCGTATGCAACATTACCAGTAGCACGGAATCTATTAAGCAATCTCTCAAAAACTTCCTTGTGTGGATGTCTTCTATCAGGATACTTTTGAGCATAAACTTTAGAAGCAAAGAGAGAATTTTCCAAACATTCTTCAACGCAAAGTACCATGTCAACTCTTTCATGGATAACGTAATTCTTCATTTTTAGGAACAATAAAAGTTAAATATTACACAAGTATGTTTATATTTTGACATTTACCAGACCGTAATGTCAGAAAATGACAATGTCATACAATGACATTAACTAACTATATATTTTGTTTTTAAATCAATATACCGATGAAGAGTTTAAATAATTATAAATTACGCAAAAACTATGAGACTTAAGTATAGGACATCTTTATACCGTTCAAAAGAGGAAACTTTTTTTAGTATTACGTGTTTGGGACTTTTCATTTTGTATAATATAGGATTTTTAGGTCAGTCTTGCAACAGTGTGTAGTTGCAACCTGTACGACTAATGGACTCGCCCGAGTGGCAATGTACAAGGGGAGTAAAATTGTAGAGAGAAGTTTTTATAATGGCGGAAATAACATATGTTATTAAAGCATTGTAAATTTATTTGGTTAAATAAAAAGTTGGAAGTATCCGTTGGGATATTAATTTTGGCAAAGAAAACCTACGTTAAGAAAAGTTAAAGTTCTTAGAGCAATCATTACGATTAATTAATATCCATGTTGTTCCATTTAAAATAAGCCTCATATTAGATATTGAATAATCCAAAATTGAAACTAAGTTTTTAATACCCTGTAATTAAATGTTTAATAATCAATAATGGAATAAATTTAACCATTACCCAACTACTTCGTGTAAGAGAAAATTTGTTATAATTACTTAAATAAGTCGAGAATGAGTCTTCTTTAAAAAAATTTGTTTGCTTATAATGTAGTAAGTTGTGGTTTATTTTGTATTATTTATTTTATTAAAATTCTGTCTGATTCGTTTTGCATCAGTAAGTAAAAGTATAAACTATACACATATGTTTACAACTACATTGGTTTCATTTATAACAAATATGTCAAAATGATGGGTTTAAAAATCGAGAGAAACAACTATACATATTTTGAAATCGAAAAGAAAATTTTAAATTACGCAAAATATATCACTCCTAGTTATAGGACATCCATATATCATTCGAAAGTGGAATTTTTTTTTAAATAATAATTCATTAAGCCTTATATTACACATTGAATAATCCAATAATGAAACTACAAATTTTGAACACCCTGTAAACATATGTTTAATCATTAATCATGAAATACATTTAACCAATATCCAACTATTTAGAGGTATAACCAATTTTATCAGAATTTCTTAAATACGTTAGGAATGAGTCTTCGGTTAAATTTTTACATTATAAGAGTATTCCAGATAACTCAGAATACTCTGTACATAGGTATAGGGAAGTCTTATGAAATTATACCTAATTTTCACTGACAATTAGAAAATGTAATAAAATATAGGGTGTCCTATAAGAAAAAATATAACTTTGATACGTCGCACTTTATTGGGACGTATATTTCAAAATAATTTTAATATGTAGCCCTTATCAACCTTTAAACTATAAATTTAAAAAAAATTTCAAAACCTTTTACCGTCTCGCTGTAATCTTCCGTCCCGTTAGTGGTGACTCACCCTGTATATATATACATATATATATATATATATATATATATATATATATATATATATATATACTTCATCTAATTTGCTTACCGTTGTACGTCATCGGCTGCGTCATACTCCGTGAGGTCACATGATACCAACACGTAATATTTAGGCGGTAGGTGTGTTCTTTTTTAGAATCACTTTGCCGAGTACACTGGCATTACAGCCACTAGACCCGACGGGTCTAGTGCGGAAAACACTGTACGAGAGGCGTATGTAGCATTAAAAATTCAGTTACAACAATGCGTTTAATAATATAAACGAAGTATATGAAAATAAGCACGCAACCACAAATCCTACGATCACATGTTATAGAAAACGACGTCATCGAAGTAGTAGACGAATTTGTATACCTGGGAGCGCTCCTTATCACTGATAATAATACTACTGCAGAGATAATGCACAACATTTGCACGGCCAATAGGTATTATTTTGGGCTCCATCTCCTCCTTAAATCCACAATTATATCGAGAAATACAAAAATAAAATTCTACAAGACAATAATACGCCCAATTCTAACATATAGTTCAGATATTTAGATTCTAACTAAAAGTAATGAAAACATGTTAAGCCGGGTCCAGACCATGTAACAAAACATGTTAAATAACAAAGTTTTGTAACTTGTTACAGAATTTTAAATAAAAAAGTTGTAAAACAAAGTGTTGTATAACATTTTTCTGGTTATATAGCAAGTTTTATGTTATCCAACAGTTGTCGGTAAACATCAAAGAAAGTTCCTAAAACATTGTAAAACTGCATCGTGACTGATCTACACTGTGATCTACACTTAAAAACATGTTATTGAAACATCTCTTTGGCATAGTACGCGAGCAGAAACCGTCAGAGTCATATCGCCCTGTTCATTCTGATTCTTGAGTGATTTTGCTAAATTTTTCTTTGCTCTGTTCACGTGGGGTTATTTCTTATTTACGTGATGGAATGGTCGAAAGAACTGACTACTGATTTAATTGATTTGATTGATTTAATTGATCTATTTCGGAAACAACGAGTATTATGGGATCCTACATTCATCGATGTTAAAAACCGAAATAAAAAACACGATGCATGGACTGAAAGAGCCGGAGATACAAGCGAAGTTGAAAAAAAATCTACTTATGACTCTATTTTATATACTGCCTAATCTACCAGACACCCAGCTAAAAGTTATGCGCATTTTGTTGTGTTGTTTTTAGTTATATAGTCTGGATGCTATGTTATATTATAACTAGTTACAAAAGAAAGTTGTAAAACTAATTTGTTGTACAACTTTGTTATTTAAAATGTTTTGTTACATAGTTTGGACTCGGCTTTAGGATGTTTCGAAAGAAAAGTACTAAGGCGAATCTATGGAGCAGTGAATGACATTGGAGTACGGAGAAGACGATACAACCTCGAAATTCCTTTTAAAACTTTTAGCATATTGTTGTTTTTTCTGAAAAATGGGTCGCTAGCCATTCGTTTTAACTCTACTCAGTGTTTATCCTCTACTCTCTTATACTCTACTCAATGTATATGTTTAT